AGTAAGTTTTCCACCATGGAAAAGTCTTCAGGCAAGACAGAGGACTTTGCTTTTTCTGGCTTCTCTGTAACATGACAAGCTGCGTGCTTTTATCTTGTTAACTTCAAAAGAGAGAAAAAAAGAGAATCTCAAAAGCTCTTTAGTGTGCATGCACTTAAGCTTTTCTTCATGCCATTAAATGTGGCTATCATAATGGCACATCATCCAAATTGCTTGTTTCTATTCTTAGCCGATTGTGCAATTAAGAGCGGATGCAAAGAGAATGGCAGATGATTTTGTTCATTTCCATCCAATCATACATCACAATACAATGCATACAGATGGGAGACAGATTAAAGGAAAAACCAGTGGCTCTATTATGCAGTGGGGGGCATTTATTTATTCACACTCCCCACATCTCAACCTAATTGAATGATAATTGGATGGAGATTTTGGAGCAATGTGTTTAGGCAGAGCTCTCCACCACCAACACCAAAACACCAACAGAGGAAAGATCTTTTGGAATGCATGTCTAAAGGCATGTAGAATCTGTGTCAAGGCCCTTGAAGCTGTGCAGAAATTATGCATAAAACATTATGCACAGCAGAAAACAATGAATACATACAGAATTCAAAGGAGAAATTTAAGCTGAATTCAGCACTTGAAGGAAGTGTGTCCATTTATGATCCCTCAGTGACAAATTTACATTTTTATGTAGAGATTGCTTTGTACAGGAAATGCTGGTTGACCTATTTATAGTTTGACATGATGTCAGACTCGATGGAAGACCCAATGGTGAGCAAAAATAGACTGACTCCTATTACCCACTAGCTATACAGCCTGCACATTCATTAATGATAAATTAGTTTGTCACCAAGCCGGAAAGCTGTCATGCCATTGGATGCCAGAATAGGCAAAGCAGCAGTGCCATTTGAAAAAAAAATTTCTGCAAAGGAGAAGATAAAGTTTAAGGTGGTCAAAATGGGCAAGATTGAGGTTTTTATTTGGTTTGTGATTGTATACAGTAAAAAAAATTGTCCTAGAGGACGTCTTGATACGTGTGTGTGTGTGTTGGGAGAGATAAAAGCTTGGTGGTCAAGGCAAGGTCAGGGAAATTCATAGCTCTACCCATACCCTG